CTCCCAGAAGCCACCACCATTCCGAGGCTTACGGGCAGCACGCTCTCAGGTAGGGGGTCATTAGAGGCACTGCAAGCGGAGGTCTCCTCTCTGCTGAGTCTAGGCGCAGCAGTGGAGGTAGACCCGCAGGAGGCCACCAGGGGGCTGTACTCCCCTTACTTCTTAGTGCCAAGAAGTCAGGCGGGGTGCGTCCCATTTTGGATCTGCGCGTGTTGAACGAGTGCATTTCCAAACGGCAGTTTCGGATGCTGCCCACAAAGCAGCTCCTCGAGTGTGTCAGGCAGGGAGATTGGATATCCTCCATAGACCTGACAGATGCGTACTTCCACGTGCCGATAGTACCGGAACACAGGAGGTTCTGCGCTTCGCAGTGGGAGAGAGGAATTACGAGTACTGTCGTTTTCCCCTTGGGCTACGCACTCGCGCCGTGGAGCAGGGGTAAGAATTTAATCTACATAGACGTCGGGTTAATTCTGGCCTCATCCAGGTAAGTGGCCGTGAGTCATACGCACTGGGTCCTGTCCCACATACAGCGCCTGGGCTTTGTGGTTAACAGGGAGAAAATTAACAGTTACCTATTGTAACTTAAGTTATACGAATAGGTGCACGTGATATCCCACTAGCGAAGTCCGCTAGGGGACGTAGCACCATGACGTAGAAGCAGGCTGCAACCGGCTCAGCGCATGATCTATCTCCGTCTGCAGCTAGACTCTGTGACATTCCGTGCTGCATGGTCCGTGGACAGACGGATGAACACTACCCGTCTGCTCGGGGAGGTTCTGGCGGGCCCCAGAGTCCCCGCTCGGCGCCTCAGGTCCCTGCTGGGAATGATGGCGGCGGCTCAGGCTGTGGTGCGGCTAGGCCTTCTCCACATGAGGAATTTTCAGAGGTGGTTCTCACGCCTCAGGCTTCACCCCTCCCGGGACGGGGGGAGGCTGATCTGGGTTCCCCAAGTGGCAGCATCGAACATCAGGTTCTGGCTCACTCCGGGTCTTCTACGGGACGGAGTGACTCTGGCCGGCGCCGTGTCTCACGTGGAGATGTTCACGGACGCGTCGCTCGAAGGATGGGGCGGGGTCCTTGGCCAGAGTTCTGTAGGAGGCTGCTGGTCGGACTCAGCCCGTCACATCAACCTGCTGGAGATGGAGGCAGTGCACAGAGTACTGCTGTACTTTGCTCCTCAGCTGCAGGGGAGACACGTGATGGTGCGCTCAGACAACACCACAGTGGTCTCCTATCTGAACAGGCAGGGGGGCACCAGGTCCCCCGCTCTCCATCGCATGGCGAAGGTGACGCTGCTGTGGGCGGCGCTTCACCTCCTGTCTCTCAGGGCGCGCCACGTCCCGGGGGTCCGGAACGTGGGGGCCGACAGGATGTCCAGGGGGGGGGCCCACTCCAGGACGAGTGGGGCCTGGCCCCAGGGGTGGCTGCGGAGATCTGGCGGAGGTTCGGCCGTCCAGTGGTCGACCTTTTTTCGCCAGTGCAGGAAACGCACAGTGCCCGCCCTGGTTCGCCTCAAGCCAGCCGCCTTTAGACGTGGACGCTCTGGCTCATTACCCCTGGCCAGGGGGCCTGCTGTACGCGTTCCCCACCAGTGCGTCTCCTGCCGGTCCTGCTGCGGAGGATCGAACAGGAGAGGAGGTCGGCATGGCGGTGATGGAGCCCTGGGCCCTCCCGGACGAACCGGGGGCTCTAGTCCAGGGGGGGAGGAGCCCTGTTTTCACGCCCGATAATCGGCCGCAGGCTCTGGGTTGGAGGCTGAGAGGCGGAACCTCGTAGACCTGGGTCTTCCCCCTGCGGTGGTGGAGACCACTCAGGGGGCGAGGGCGCCGTCCACTGTCAGGGCCTACGCCACGAGGTGGAGGCTCTTTAGCGACTGGTGTGGTTTTCGTTCCTGGGATCCCAGGCGTTGCCCGCTGGAGGGGGTCCTGGGATTCCTACAGGAGCTCTTTGACAAGGGGAGGGCTGTCGCCACCTTGGCGGTGTTCGCGGCAGCCATTACTTCGGGTCACGACGGATTCGGGGGGTTCACAGCCCGCTCTCATCCGTTGGTTAAACGTTTTCTGCGGGGGGCACGCAGGAGGAGGCCCCCGCTCCAGAGAACGCCCCGGTTTGGGACCTCAGGGTGGTCCTTAGGGGGCTGTCGGGTCCGCCTTTTGAACCGGCGGCGGAGGCGAGTCCCGAGTGTGTCGCTTTAAGACGGCCCTCTTGTTGGCGTTGGCGTTGGCGTCTGCTAAGAGGGCGGGCGACTTGTGTGCGCTCTCTGTCCATGCGTCTTGCCTGTCCTTTGGAGAGGACGACGGCATGGTGGTATTGTGGCCCAATCCGGCTTTCTCCCCAAGGTCATCACGTCGGCCTTTAGGTCGAGAGTCATCAGGATTAGGGCTTTCTATCCGCCACCGCATGCCTCCCCCGAGGAGGAGCGGCGGCACCTTCTGTGTCCTGTCAGAATGCTGAAGCATTACCTGGCCATGACGGCGTCATTCAGGTTGGGTGGCCAGCTGTTTGTGTGTCTGGGCCCCAAGAACAGGGGCACCCCGCTGTCGGCTCAGCGGCTGGTGCACTGGGTTGCCACGGCTGTGCGGCGGGCGTATCAGACGCAGGGTCTGGCCCTCCCGGTGGGCTTCAGGTCGCATTCCACGCGTGGGATGGCGGCCTCTACGGCCCTTCTCAGGGGGGTGTCGGTCGAGGACGTATGCCGTGCGGTTGCTTGGGCTTCGTCCTCCTCTTTCGTCCGGTCTTATCTTTTGGATGTGTCGGACCGGTTGGGGGCCCATTCCGTGCTGAGTGCAGCGGACTGAGTTAGACCGTTAGGTCCCTCCTCTGAGGGGGCCTTCGGTTTACTTTCCGCCCTGGTTCAGGAGCTCTTGGGAGAGGCATCCTACAGGTGCGGTACATATATGTGTGTTTTTGGTCGGTCTGGTAGTCCACGTCAGGAGCCCTTGGGAGAGGCGTCCTGTGACTACGGATGACCTATATCTGTGTTACGTGGGGGTATCCTTGGTAGGAGTGGCCCTGTAACACGCATTGTTTCTTCTGCCCTGAGTCCTCTCACTTGTGAGGGTCTTGCTCGGGCGGAGCTCCAATCACCCTTCGCTGGCCTGCTGGGAGTACATTTTCCTACGGCCTCCGCGTTGTGTCCCACTAGCGAAGTCCTAAGGGACGTAGCACCATGACGTAGAATTAATAGTTACTTAATGTAACTTAAGTTCTACGAATAGGTGCGTAGTCCCTTAGCTACGAGCCCATCAGGCCAGCCCGGCTTGGCAGAGTTCAAGAGGGGGTGCGGCCTTGTGCAGGGGCATTTATAGAGGAAGGTGGCTGGTGATTGGAGCAAATTATTTTGATCTCTCTGGCGTGTGACCTCCCACTAGCGAAGTCCTAAGGGACTACGCACCTATTCGTAGAACTTAAGTTACATTAAGTAACTATTAATTTCACATTGTGATGGAGGGACGTGAAAGCATCTCTCCTGGTTACTATGGAAAGTGTCAATCTGATTCTGTTCATTTCTCTACTCCCTGTGCCAATCCACATTAACCCAAAACGATCACAAAGCTCCTCTCTCCTCACACATCAACTCATAGCTAGATTTACAAAGACAATATAAATACCAGGATCATTGAAAGCGCTAAACCACATGTGCATCTGAGGTTTACAATGGAGCAAAGCTTTGTCCATGAGCACTTCCCTATCGAGTTTCATTGAGCTGATGAAACTTATGAAGGAATGAAATCAGATGGCATTGGATCAAGCTGCCCCACTACTTTACAATTCGGAGTTTGCATTAGAACTGGTAAAGTTTGTCGGTATTAAATGTACCTGTGAGAGTCGAGTCACAAATAAGCGGTCTGATGTTATTTTGTGTAGGGAAAAAAACGTAAATTTGGGATCTGGAGAGGCTTCTTACTATTATCATGAATAAAGTAATTTGTAAAGGATTTCTCTCGTCTTTTCACAGTAATATGACTTTCTGACATAGATACTTTATTGATCCCCGTGGGAGAAATTCAGGTGTCCAGCAGCAGAAGACTCATCCAGGTTTGTTGTACAGTCTGACAGCCAAAGGATCTCTGGAAACGTTCCGTTCGGCAGCGTTGTGATAGGAGCCAGTTGCTTTGATTACTCCTCTGAGCGTATATGAATGTATACATGTATTTTATAGTAAATGTGATGTCTTAGGGATTGAAAATTCACATGTTTATCCTAGTGTATAAACAAATGTAACCATCTATTTCATTCCGCTTTATCCATTGCCGGGTGGTGAGGGCAGCAGCAGACACGTCCGGACTTCCCTCTCCACACACTTCCTCCAGCTTATCCGGGAGAATCCTGAGGTGGTCCCCTACAGTATCTCTAATGGATCAGGAGAGCTGTACTTTGAGCTCTCCTCCTCACCCTATATCTAGGGGAGCAATCTCGTCTCCAAAGCTCTTGACCAGAGGTGAGGGAGGGGACATAAAGCTCTGACAGCAGACGCTGCTCTCTCTTTGCCACAACAGTCCGACTCAGCGACTGCATCATGGCACACACTCAATCCTTCCATCACTGAGACCAAGACCCCGAGATATTTGAAGGCATTTATTTATCTACTTTTCTGTTCGCAGTAAAAGCCAGCGTACCTTATTTCTAAACCACAAACATGCAATAAAATCCATCTCACTAGTTCCTGGCTCTAAAACAGGTATCACCACATGTATGTATTTCTGGCCTTTGTCACATCTTTAGGTCAATTTTTTCCAGACAAAAAAAATGAATGGGACCATCCTCACTCAGCCAATCAAGAGGGAGACCAGAGAGAGACCAGAAACCCAAGGTCTAATGTATCTTTAGTTGTTGTACATGAGTTTGTCAGTAGAGGGCAGACTTTGGAAAGCAGACGGGAAAAGGAGCCTTTGTTTACCACATCTATGACCGTGTTATGACACAGGCATTAATGTACAAATATCAAGAAGAAATGCGCTAAACTTATATTTGAATCAACATTATTAGTATAAGTCATGCTAAATGGTGCTGGGCTGGACCGCAGCGCTGTTTCCACGGACCCGGAGGAGCAGCAGCCTCAGCGGGACAGCTCTACACTTCTGCCCGGGGAAGATGCGTGTGTCGCGGCTGGCCTCGCACGGTCCCCCGGTGGAGGAGGCTCTGTGTCCTGGCTCTTCCTGCAGGCTGAGCTGGAGCTGGACCTACACCTCCGCGGCCTGAGCTTCTCGGAGCCGGTGCGGTTCGTCTATAACCCGCTGCAGTACGCCTGGAACCTGCACCGGAGCTTCGTGGAGACCTACTGCAAAGCCGGGGTCCGAGTGCTGTTTCTGGGCATGAATCCAGGGCCCTTCGGCATGGGCCAGACCGGGGTGAGTGGGAAGATAGATGGATACTTTATTGACCCCCGTAGAAACATAGACATTAATAAATACTTAACTATAAAAGTTACTGAAAATAGAATAATACACGCACGCACACACACACACACACGCACGTACTCACGCACTCATTCATTCTGAATTGTACATTTTGTTAGTGGGAGGGGAAACTGGAGCATCTGGAAGAAACCTATGCAGACAGAAGAAGAACATTCAAATTCCACACAGAAAGAACCCTTCTGGAGGTGGCCCGTCATGTGATCTCAAAACCTCAATGGGTTTGGCTTGAGTTTATCTATTATTTTTATCGTTCAAGCCCATTTGTAGTTTTTTCGGAGCCGCAACAAAACCATACTTAACCCTAATATGACAGCGTTGAATTGTCGAGACCATTACAGATCTCCTCTTGGGTCGTCCATATTTCCAAACAGGACAAGTTCAAAATCACATTCATAATGTTTACGGTCTCAGGCTGTGGATCGATAACTGAGCCAGAACTGAAGAGGCTCCAGGCAGGGAAGGAGGCTGAGATGCAAGTGCTTGACTTGTATTCCTAAAGCCCTGTTTCCACCAGCCCTACTCGGCTCTACTTTACTTAGCAACCAACCCATTGCACAACAGTTTTCTGGGAAATTCCTTGGTAACCATGGCTTCCAGCAGCACAAATCACATTTAGTTAGAACACTCTAGCACCAGCTCGGCCCGGATAGAACCAGGGCTAAGAGGGACTAAAGAAGGACCTGTACTGGTTAAACAGGTCGTCTTCTCCTGTCCTCTCACCCTTGTTCTTTCTCTCCCCCGGTTTGTTTCTCAGGTCCCGTTCGGCGAGGTGAAGTCTGTGGTGGAGTGGATGCAGATCTCTGGGGAGGTGGGTCGTCCGCCAGAGGAGCACCCGAAGCGGCGCGTGGTGGGGCTGCAGTGCACACAGAGCGAGGTGAGCGGCGCACGCTTCTGGGGCTTCTTCCGCAAACTGTGCCACGACCCGCACCTGTTCTTCAGACACTGTTTCGTGCACAACCTCTGCCCACTGATGTTCATGGCCTCCAGCGGGAAGAACCTGACGCCTCCAGAGCTGAAGCGTGCAGAGAGGGAGGCGCTGCTGGCCCAGTGCGACGCCGCGCTGTGCCGTGTGGTGCGTGTGCTCGGCGTGTCGCTGGTGATCGGTGTGGGGCGCGTGGCCGAGCACAGGGCACGCAAGGCTCTGAGCACGGTCGGGTCGAGCGCGCGTGTGGAGGGAATCATGCATCCTTCTCCAAGGAACCCTGCGGCCAATAAAGGCTGGGAGGCCGTGGCGCGCGGGAGACTGGAGGAGCTCGGGGTGCTGTCGCTGCTCATGGAGGCGGAGAGATGAGAGGTTTTATTGTAATATCATAAAGACCCTTTCTTATTCAAGAGATACAATATCTTCTGGCAGCCTTCCAATTTATCCACTGCCAAGTCGTGGAGGCAGCAGTCCGACTCCGAGCAGACAAGCCCAGACCTCCCTCTACACACACTCCCTGCAGCTCATCTGGGGGAATCCTGAGGCGTTCCCAGGCCTGCTGAGAGACATAAAGCCCTACTCTACTCTACGTCGATTGGAAGCGTTTCCACCATGGACTCTTTTAGTCCCTGGTTCTATCAAGGCCGAACTGGAACTAAAGTGTTCTGACAGTGATTGGCCAGAATGCTGATGGAGGATTTGTTGGATACGTTGCTAAAGCATCCGCTATCAGATGCTAAAGCGTAATGGAAACACAACCAGGTAGAGTTGTTTATAGTCTCTCCGGTGTGTCCTGGTCCCGAGACTCCTCCCAGTTGGACGGACCAGAGGGGTTCACAGCAGAAGTCTCCTCTCACCTCTGTAGGAGCAGCAGCTCTACTCTGTGCTCCTCTTGAACATGAGTGGGATCCAACAGAAAACAGAATGATCCATACAGTAACATTCCCAGAGCAAAAATGTGTCATAATATGATGTTCCTGAACTCAGGTTGAATGTGATGTTTATTTATTGCGATTTACGTGTAAATGTTTTTTATATGAAATGTTGTATTGTTTTATTACTGCAGTAAAGAACATTTACTTCTGCACATTGTTAAAGACTCCTTTAATATTTGACCATAACACTGTCTATTCTTTTTAGCTACAGTTTTGATAAAGCATTGGTTTATACAGTGCTTTTCAGGAAACTCAAAGAGTACTACTGTAGCCACAGCTGCCCTGGGGCACACTGATGAAAGCAAGGCAACCGTTATGTGTCATCGGCCCCTCCCTCCACCATCAACCATTCGCACACAGACCAGACAGATTCTAAACAATGGGTCTCAAACCTATAGCTTGGGGGATAAGAAGTAGCTCGCCACCCTCTTAAAAGTCTCTCCCCAAAGGATAATTGCAGATGCTTACAACTATAGCAAATCCCTACTGCCAAAAAATGCCCAAAGTTGGCAGAATAAATTATTAGCAAGAGAGAGATGATCAGCATGTTGACAGTTTTGAAACAATATTTGCCAAAGAAACAAATTATACCATGCTTGACATAAGACTAAAGATGGTCGTTCCATTTGATAATCCTTCAATTTATTCTTTTAAGAAAACACACATATGTTATGTTTGTGTAAGCCCTCAGTCGTACAGGGATTAGTCAAAGCAAAGGAAGGTTTCTTTTTCTTTGAGGACGAAACGTCGGGAAAACTTGCTAAGAAGTACAGATGATGGGTGAGAAACCTTCCTTTGCTTACACATATGTTATGTGTCTGTCTAAAGGAGCTCACTGCCACTTTTGCCACAAAAAAGTTTGGAGACCCCTGTTCCAGGCAATGTGGGTGAAGTGTCTTGCCTAAGGACACAATGGCAGTTTGACATTTTACAGCCGCAGCAGGGCAGGGCCGGGTACTAACCAGGCTTAGCTTCAGAGGTCGGATGAGAGGAGTAGAGTAGAGTAGAGCAGAGCAGAACAGAGCAGAGCAGAGCAGAGCAGAGCAGAGCAGAGTAGAGTAGAGTAGAGTAGAGTAGAGTAGAGTAGAGTAGAGTAGAGTAGAGTAGAGTAGAGTAGAGTAGAGTAGAGTAGAGTAGAGTAGAGTAGAGTAGAGTAGAGTAGAGTAGAGTAGAGTAGAGTAGAGTAGAGTAGAGTAGAGTAGAGCTGGTGGAAACGGTGCAATTAAAACATTTGTCTATTTTCAGCTATAGTTCCGCACTGTTGCTTTAAATGACTGATGCCTGTGTGTGGTTACATTCTCTGAACTACAATTCCCATGATGCTCTGGGCTCCACATTTAGCCGGTGTCTCAGTCTGTTGTGAAATCATTCTGCAGATACTTCTCTCTGAGCAGGTACTGAGAACTTTACATATAACTATTCATGCTTTTTACTTAAAAAGGGGCTTAACAGATATCACTGTTATGACAATCTGTGTTTACTTCTGTTGAGATTACAGCATTTGAGAATAATATATATATATTTATATGTATAAGTATATGTTTGTGTGTGTGTAGAAATGATAATAACTTTTATATATATTTATTGTAAACTAAAATGTATGTTCTCACTTTTACAATGTTGATTTGAAACAAGGAAAATGGTTTAGTTCATATAGACTGTATTCAGATAGACAATGCTAACTCCCTAGCTCAATGAAGCCCAACAGTGAAGTGCTCATGGACGAAGTTTTGCTCCAAATTGTTTTGACTCCTATTGACTTACATGTAAAAGTAAACGTCCCAAGCTCAGTAACCGTTTGTGTGGCACATTTTGGGCTTAAACATGAACATATTATATTATGATAATGATGTGATATTTTCTCCGTAAATCCAGATATGAGCCGTATAAGGATTGACCAATCAGAATCCCTTCATTGCAGGGGAAGCTACAGCTTGCTTTAGCAACACTTTTGCCCTTGTGACGATGTGAACCAAAGAGAGAGAGACAAGAAAGTGACCAGAGAGAAGGACTTAAGAGAGATCGGCAAGAGACCAGGGAGAGACAAGAAAGAGGGACCAAAGAGAAACAAAAGAGATAGATCAGCCAAAGATCAGATAGAAACCATAGAAAGGGAAAGACCAGAGAGAGACCAGAGAGAGACCAGAGAGAGACCAGAGAGAGACAAGAAAGAGGGACCAAAGAGACAAAAGAGATAGATCAGCCAGAGACTACATAGAAACCAGAGAGAGACCAGAGAGAGAGAGAGACCAGGGAGAGACAAGAAAGAGGGACCAAAGAGAGAGAGAGAGACACGAAAGTGACCAGAGAGATGGAAGAGAGTAACCAGAGAGAGGGACTAAGGGGGGATCGACAAGAGACCAGAGAGAGACCGGGGAGAGACAAGAAAGAGAAACCAAAGAGAGAGGTCAGAGAGAGACCAAAGAGAGAGACGAGGGAGAGACCTCTGTAACATCTTTAGATCCTCTTTATCAGACACAAAGTGAAACAGAGAGGACCACCCTCACTCAGCTCTCTGCCCAAAGCGTCAAATAGTGACTCACAGGGCTCTTTATCACACCAACGATCACATGTTCTTTAATGAGATGAAGACAGCATGTTGTGGTCTGATTTCTTCACAACATTTCACTTTCACAACACTCTTTCTGTCGGGACAAGCAACACGCGCTGTTTACGAACCAGAAAAGTTAGGTACCCCAGCTTTACCAGCCCCCTGTGCGCCTCCTCTCGGGCTGTTTACAAACACGGTCCATATGCTGTTGTGAAATCATGACCACGCTGCATTCCGGAGCTCGTGTGTCTCCAGCTGCCTCTGCGCCTGACCCAGACTGACATATTGTTTTTCTTTCTCTGAATCAGCTCCATGGATCTTTCCGGACCGCCCAGACCCTCCAGACCCTCCATGGACCCCCCTGGACCCCCCGCCACGGCCCGCTTTAGAAACGTGGGCCGCTTCTATTTCCCCCAAATCCGTGTGGAGTGTCACGTGAGCCTGGGTCCCGAGCCGCGGTGGAGCAACCGGGACTGGATCGGCATCTTCAAGGTCTTTATTGCTGAGAGTGAACCAGTGACCCAGTTTTAAAGCTCTGGTACCTGACTCTCAAAGCGCAAATGATGGAACTATATAATAAAAACCATGTAGGACGAAACATTTCCTCACTCTATCTGCTTTTATCACTTTAGTTTTCATGTATTTTTGGACCACCCTCACTCAGCCAATCAGCTCTCAGCCCAAAGACACAAACAGTGGCTCACTGGGCTCTATCTTACACAAAATATAACATTTGAACTTATATTATGAAGCTTCACAAGACTCAACCGTGTATTACTAATGAGGGAAAAGTTAGGTACCTCAGCTTTAATAAGGTCTCAGCTTTTATTTTTTATTTTTTTTAGATCAGCCTGAAAATACAGCCTCAGAGCTGTGGTGAGTTTGTATTGGTCACTAAACAGCATCATGAAGGCCAAGAAGCACAGTAAATAGGTCAGGTTTTGGTAGAGATTTTCCCAAGGCTGTGGCACCACTGCAAATTTACCAAAACATGACCGACCTAAACTAATAAGCTGAAGGAGAGAACCGATCAGAAATGTGTACGTGGAGCAGATAATAGATACACAAGTTACAAATACACAAATCTGGCTCTTGAATGCACTAAATTTGAACTCCATCCATCCATCCATCTTCTTCCCATTTATCCATTTTTGGGTTGGGGGGGGCAGTCAGAGCGGCACCCAGGAGCCTTGGTCTGTCAGCGAAGGCGTCAGGCAAAGTGGAGTTAAGTGTCTTGCCCAAGGACACAACAACAGCAGACATCAGTTGGAGTTACCCCCCCACGAACCATAAATATGAACTCGCCTTGCCTTAGAATGGCCCACTCGAATTTCAGACCTAAATCTTCCCCTGATCTGACAGAGCGAGTTGTTTTGTAAAGATGAATGGGCAAAACCTTAATTCTCTAGATGTGCAGACCGTGTGTGAGTGTAACGTGTCTCTGGTCTCTCTGGTGTTTCTCTCTCTTGTCTTTCTGGTCTTTCTCTCTGGTCTCTCTCTTATCTCTCTCTGCTCTCTCTCTGCTCTCTCTCTCTGGTCTCTCTCTCTAGTCTCTCTCTATGGTCTCTCTCTGCTCTCTCTCTAGTCTCTCTCTCTGGTCTCTCTCTCTGGTCTCTCTCTGCTCTCTCTCTGCTCTCTCTCTGCTCTCTCTCTCTCTCTGCTCTCTCTCTCTGGTCTCTCTCTCTGGTCTCTCTCTGGTCTCTCTCTCTAGTCTCTCTCTCTGGTCTCTCTCTCTGGTCTCTCTCTGGTCTCTCTATCTGCTCTCTCTCTGCTCTCTCTCTCTCTCTGCTCTCTCTCTCTGCTCTCTCTCTGCTCTCTCTCTGCTCTCTCTCTCTCTCTCTGCTCTCTCTCTCTGGTCTCTCTCTCTGGTCTCTCTCTGCTCTCTCTCTCTGGTCTCTCTCTCTGCTCTCTCTCTGGTCTCTCTCTCTAGTCTCTCTCTCTGCTCTCTCTCTCTCTCTGCTCTCTCTCTCTGGTCTCTCTATCTGCTCTCTCTCTGCTCTCTCTCTGCTCTCTCTCTCTGGTCTCTCTCTGCTCTCTCTCTGCTCTCTCTCTCTCTCTGCTCTCTCTCTCTGGTCTCTCTCTCTGCTCTCTCTCTGGTCTCTCTCTCTAGTCTCTCTCTCTGGTCTCTCTCTCTGGTCTCTCTCTCTGCTCTCTCTCTCTCTCTGCTCTCTCTCTCTAGTCTCTCTCTCTGGTCTCTCTCTTATCTCTCTCTGCTCTCTCTCTGGTCTCTCTTTCTGCTCTCTCTCTGGTCTCTCTCTCTAGTCTCTCTCTCTGGTCTCTCTCTGGTCTCTCTCTTATATCTCTCTCTAGTCTCTCTCTGCTCTCTCTCTGCTCTCTTTCTGGTCTCGCTCTCTCTGCTCTCTCTCTAGTCTCTCTCTTATCTCTCTCTCTAGTCTCTCTCTCTGGTCTCTCTCTTATCTCTCTCTCTGCTCTCTCTCTGGTCTCTCTCTCTCTCTGCTCTCTCTCTAGTCTCTCTCTTATCTTTCTCTGCTCTCTGGTCTCTCTCTCTGCTCTCTCTCTGGTCTCTCTCTCTCATCTCCCTCGCTAGTCTCTCTCTCTTGTCTCTCTCTGATCTCTCTCTGGTTTCAGGTTGGCTGGACGTCCCTTAAAGAGTACTACACATACACCTGGGTGAACGTCCCGGACTCCTTCAGCGAGGGAGCGGCTGTGGACTGCTGCGCGCTCTTTCACGGTTATTCAACTTTCCCTTTTTGTAATAAGCTGCTAAAGTGTTTTAAGGCTGAGGTTCCTCACTTTCAAGCCTAAACAAATCTTAAACAATGTATTAAAACCCTGGATCTAAAACAGTTTGCTACTATCACTAGCACTAAAGCCAGATCCTGTCAGACCTCTGAAGCTAAGCAGGGCAGGGCCTGAATAGTACTCTGATGGGAGACCTCTGGAAACACCAGGTGCCACAGTGGGGCGGCTGCGGCTGTAAAGTGTCCTTAGGCAAGACACTTCACCCACATTTTGACAAGCGCCCTCTGGTCTTTCTCTGGTCTCTCTCTGGTCTCTCTCTCGGGTCTCTCTCTGGTCTCTCTCTCTCTCTGGTCTTTCTCTGGTCTCTCTCTTGTCTCCCTCTGATGTCTGTCTTGTCTCTCTCTGGTTTCTCTCTGTGGTCTCTCTCTCTGGTCTCTCTCTGGTCTCTCTCTGGTCTCTCTCTCTGGTCTCTCTCTCGGGTCTCTCTCTGGTGTCTCTCTTGTCTCTCTCTGGTTTCTCTCTCTGGTCTCTCTCCAGTGTCTCTCTCTGGTCTCTCTATGGTCTCTCTCTGGTGTCTCTCTGGTTCTCTCTGGTCTCTCCCTCTGGTCTCTCCCTCTGGTCTCTCTCTGGTCTCTCTTTCTGGTCTCTCTCTCGTCTCTCTTGTTTTCTCTGGTGTCTCCCTCTGGTCTGCCTCTTTAGTCTCTCTGGTCTCTGGTCTCTCTCTGGTTTCTCTCTCTGGTACACCCACTGTGCCTAGAATGAGTCTGGTGTGTGTGTGAATGGTTGGTGGTGGTGGGAGTGGCACATACTGGTTGCCTCGCTTCTGTCAGTGTGCCCCAGGGCAGCTGTGGCTACAATAGTCATTCAGTCACTCCAGTGTATGAAGTGATGCCATGTGACAAGCTCTGATTCTTATCGCTCTTGTGCAGCGTTCTACCTGCCGCGGCCCGGTCCAGCAGAGTATCAGTTTGTGTACGTGGATCAGAGCGGACTGGAGCGTGGGCGCAGCGGAGCCTTCACCTTCTGCTCTCCCAAACCTCTGGAGGAGCTGGAGACGGTGCGAGAGGAGCCAGGAGAGGAGGCCGGGACTGAGGGAGAGCCCAAGGGGAAGGAGGAGGAGGAGCTGATGCTGGTGGTGCCCAGAGCTACACTGCTGCAGGTCAGAAAATCAGAATATTATACTGATTATTACTGATCAACTTAAAAACCCACATGCACATCCATGACCTTCTCTCTGGCAACTCTCTGGTGTCTTTCTGGTCTATGTCTCTGGTCTCATGACTCTCTCTGGTCTCTATCTGGTCTCTCTCTCTGGTCTCTATCTGGTCTCTCTCTCTAGTCTCTCTCTGGTCTCTATCTGGTCTCTCTCTCTGGTCTCTGTCTCTGGTCTCATGTCTCTCTCTGGTCTCTATCTGGTCTTTCTTTCTGGTCTCTCTCTGGTCTCTCTCTAGTCTCTATCTGGTCACTGTCTCTGGTTTCATGTCTCTCTCTGGTCTCTATCTGGTCTCTCTCTCTGGTCTCTCTCTGGTCTCTATCTGGTCTCTGGTCTCTATCTGGTGTCTATCTCTGGTCTCATGTCTCTCTCTGGTCTCTATCTGGTCTCTGTCTCTGGTCTCATGTCTCTCTCTGGTCTCTATCTGGTCTCTCTCTCTGGTCTCTCTCTGGTCTCCATCTGGTCTCTGTCTCTGGTCTCATGTCTCTCTCTGGTCTCTATCTGGTCTCTGTCTCTGGTCTCATGTCTCTCTCTGATCTCTATCTGGTCTCTCTCTCTGGTCTCTCTCTGGTCTCCATCTGGTCTCCATCTGGTCTCTGTCTCTGGTCTCATGTCTCTCTCTGGTCTCTATCTGGTCTTTCTTTCTGGTCTCTCTCTGGTCTCTCTCTAGTCTCTATCTGGTCACTGTCTCTGGTTTCATGTCTCTCTCTGGTCTCTATCTGGTCTCTCTCTCTGGTCTCTCTCTGGTCTCTATCTGGTCTCTCTCTGGTCTCTATCTGGTCTCTGATCTCTCTCTGGTCTCTCTCTGGTCTCTCTCTCTGGTCTCTCTCTGGTCTCTCTCTGGTCTCTATCTGGTCTTTCTTTCTGGACTCTCTCTGGTCTCTCTCTGGTCTCTCTCTGGTCTCTCTCTGGTCTCTATCTGGTCTCTGGTCTCTCTCTGGTCTCTCTCTCTGGTCTCTCTCTGGTCTCTATCTGGTCTTTCTTTCTGGACTCTCTCTGGTCTCTCTCTGGTCTCTGGTCCCTCTCTGGTCTCTATCTGGTCTCTCTCTCTGGTCTCTCTCTGGTCTCTATCTGGTCTTTCTTTCTGGACTCTCTCTGGTCTCTCTCTGGTCTCTCTCTGGTCTCTCTCTGGTCTCTATCTGGTCTCTGGTCTCTATCTGGTCTCTCTCTCTGGTCTCTCTCTGGTCTCTATCTGGTCTTTCTTTCTGGACTCTCTCTGGTCTCTCTCTGGTCTCTGGTCCCTCTCTGGTCTCTATCTGGTCTCTCTCTGTTCTCTGCTCTGCTGCTTTTTTCTCATACTGGACCGGTGTGTTTCTTCTCTGCTCACAGAGGCGTCTGGAGGACAGTGTGAAGCGAGTCTTGTCTCTTCAGGCCGAGCTGGACCAGACCAGGAGCGAGCTAAGGGAAGAGAGAGAGAGGAGGGAGCGGGGTGAGCGAGAGTGGGGGAGAGAGAGGGAGGCGCTGACGAAGGAGATGTCAGAGATGAAGATGACTATCGCCCAGTACACAGACACGCTCCAGAGGATGGAGGGTACACACCAGGTGACCACACACACAAATACAGACCAGAGAGCGCAGAAAACAGAGGGAAAAGAGAGAGAGACCAGAGGGATACCAGAGAGAGATCTCAGAGAAAGAGAGAGACCAGACAAATAGACCAAAGAGAAAGAGACCAGAGAGGGAAACCAGAGAGAGACCAGAAAGAGGGAGACCAGAGAGAGAGAACAAAGAGAGAGAGAGACCAGATAGGGAGACGAGAGAGAGAGATACCAGAGAGGGAGACCACAGAGAGAGAGACCAGAGAGAGACCAGAGAGATAGACCAAAGAGAGAGAGACCAGAGAGTGGCTGTTGTACGCATTGCTCTTTCCTTTATAATATTGTCTTTGTTAAAATAGGTTTGAAAATGTTTGCATTGTTATAAATATTTGTGTGTGTGTGTGTTTGTGTGTGTCTTGTGTAGAACGTGAAGTACAACCAGGAGAACCTGAGCACTGAGCTGAGCAAACTGCTGCGTGAGAAAGAGGAGAGTGTGCGACGCATTCAGGAGCTGCAGGAAGATCTGAGGACCCTGACCGAGAGAGAGAGAGAGGACCAAGCAGAGGCAGACAGGTACCAGAAATGGGGACTAGAGACATGGACCAGAGACCAGAGACAGAAGACAGAAGCCAAGGACAGGTACCAGAGAGATAGAGAGAGAGAGGAGAGAGGACCAAGCAGAAATAGACAGGTAGAAGCTTTAGGTATATTGGCAGGAACAGAGAGACCCGAGAGAGACAGGGACCAGAGAGCGAGAGACCAGAGAGACCAGAGAGACCAGAGAAAGACCAGAGAAAGACCAGAGAAAGACCAGAATTATGTGTATAGAAATAATAGTAAATAATATAGTTGCACGATCTTGTTGATACAGACTTAGGGAGAGAGTGAAGAAATATTCCAGTCAGATGAAACACGAGGAGGAGAAGAGAAAGGCTCTGCAGGTGAGTTTGTGTCAGTGAGAACACACACGCACACACACACACACACACACACTACAGATCTCTCTGGTTGTGTCTCTGTGCAGTCGCAGTGTGAGTCCTTGTCCTCAGAGCTGCGTGGTCTTCAGGAGCGTCTGGACTCCTCTGAGCTCCAGTCTCCCTCTCTGCGCAGAGACCTCCGCGAGATCACGTCTCGCCACAGTCAGCTCCACACCGAGCTGCAGCAGTCCCGCCTGCAGGGGGCGCAGCTGAGCCTCCAGCTGTCCCAGGACCAACTGCAGCTAAGGGAGGAGCGAGCGACCTGGACTCTGGAGAGGGAGGAGTCCAGGGTGGCAGCGGAGGTCAGGCCTCACACACACGCACACGCGTGCACACACACACACATACACGTTTTTGTTACCTGGTGGGTCCCTTTGACAGGGCCGTTCAGAATGGGACCCATAGACATAATCTTTTTTTACTGGGACTACTTTAAGTAATACAAAACAGTCAATAGAAACCAAACAACTATTTTAAAGGAATTTTATTTTAGATTTTTTTTTCGAATTGCAGTGATTCTATTTTTGACATAGAATTTAATGCCACTCCATGTCCGATGTCTAAGGTCATCTGGTGAGGCATTAATGCAGGCCAGGCAGTGAGACTTCCCAGGGACCTTTCCAGTCTGTATGAAAGGTGTCATGGTCTTCTCCACAGCCTTCACCTCAGATGCAGACCATGGCTTTCTCTAACGTTCTAGGGAGAGAAATAAAAATATATTAGCAATATACACTCCCAGGGTTAGGACCAAGCAGCCTGGCTGTAATCCCCCACCTGGTACACTTACCAGAAGGGGCACTGCCACTACCATGGGGTGCATCTGGATGAATGGTTGAAGGTTCTCCGCTTGAAGTTTCTTTTAGCCCGTCCGTTTGTGAGAGGATCTCTACTGCTCTCCCTGTCGCACAGAAAATAAAAATACAAGTGGCCTTTAGGGGAAAAAAATCATACATGTTTTAATAATATCAAGAATTACCTTCAGGCTCAATTTGTATCTGGTCGAGGCTCTTTCCTTCGAATTCCGTCACTCTTCCCTGCTCCATGGCCATCAACACTTTGCTGATTTTGGCCAGCTCCAGTGTCCCCTCTGGTAGTCTGTAATATTGCCTGTGGATGCGAATGTCATGGCCGAGGAAGTTGGCAAGTATGTCCATCTCATTCTCTTTCATATTGAGAACTGTAGACATAGTAGCTATGTGCTTTCTAAGTTTGGTTGAGGATAGCATCTCTGGATGCACCGCACCACATTCTTTGGCTACCTGGCGTAGGGAGTCTGATCCCCTGATGTGGGTGTCTGCGCCCGGGCGGGAAAAGAAGTATGGGTTTGGTCAGAGATGGAACAGGCCCTTCTGTTCTCCACCAGCACCTCCATCGAAGCAATCATTTCAGGAGTCAAAAGAACCGGCACTTTCCGACTTCTTTTCCCTTTAATTTCAATGCGTTGAAAATGCTGACACAGCTTTTTCTCAAGTTGGGACAGTCCCAGAGCAATGTCAGAATGGATCCCAGTCTTACTTCTTAAGGTAAAGGCTGTCAGTGGCATCTTTGAAACCTCACCTTCCCTTCTTCGATTGAAAATGATGACCTCACAAAGAGTCAAAACTGCCAGTTTAGACCAATGCTTAGACGTTGGCTCACTTATTAGGGTTTGCACATATTCAGGTCGACATACCTCAATATGTGCATGCATGGCTCTAACGTCCTCAGTCAGAGGGAGCAGGTCCGGAGTGTTCCACTTGGCTTGCCGGAGGGTCTGTAGGGCAGCAGAAGAAACACAGACGTCCCACCTCTTCTCAAAAAGCAGCCGGCTTCGTTGGAGGTTTTTAATAAATAGTTCATCAACACAATGCTCCATTTTTGAGTCACATTCAAGAATATCTGCTAGCTTTCTGAGGCTATGGCCGAGTTTGAGGGCCAAGGATGGAGTCTTGTATTGATTTGTTTCCTCATCATATCCAGCCACAGACCTGACTGCATCAATCACATGGTTAAAGTTGGAAGGAATAAAGAAATCCTTAATTGTTTTCAGTTTCCCTGCAGTTTTTGCTTCGTTAATTAACCTACCGACTTCTCTCATTTTCTGCCTAATGTAATCATGCTTAGTCTTATCATGCCCGTGTTTTAAGTACAGGTGCTCTCCGAGTCTCAGAATCCCCTTTTCTGCTTTGACAACACCCGTGACCTCATCCTGATGCATTGCCGAAATTAAAGACCACAGCTTTTTGCTGATGCCCTCCGGTACAGGCTGGGCTAGGGAGCAGAGGGACTGGACCCTACTTCTACCTGGTTTAGCCTGGGCATCTTTCTGTGAAAGCCGGCACCTGGCCACATGCCTCCACAGCGACTTTCGCTTAAGCAATGCCCCACAGTCTATACAGTGCAAAAACTCACTGGATTTAACTGGGCAATTTGGCTGTTTAGCTGGGACTAAAGTTCCAATGCCGGCCTTTAAAACCTCAAAATTGTGCTCACGGTTTCCACTATTCCTGATCAAATCAAACTGAAGTTTACGTGCTTTAGATTTCACAGGTAGAGCCAATGCTCTGGCTACGTCACTTTCATTTCCATGTTTTCTAGTCAAATGACGGGACATTTTGTGGCAGGACATTGAACAGTAGAGGCAGAAGTGTCTCTTGCTGTAAACTCGCCCCCCATTTTTCTTCTTTTGCAGCTGCATGATAACAATCTTATTTGCCTTTGGTTCGTCACTTTCCGAGTCTTGAAGAAAAGTGTTTTTGATTTTTTTTTTTCCATACTTTTTTACAGGTTTCTTCTTGACAGTTAAATCGTCAGAATCTGAGTCGACTTCATCAATTAGGGACTCTTGACTAAGCTGCACAAACAACAAATAATTTGTAATCATTCTATATAACAATTTGAAGTCATGACTTGTAGTCAGCACTTACCAGTGGTTTGTAAGCGTGCGCTTCAGTGTGCTCCTCCATGATTTCTTGCAGCCTAATGAACCACACACTTGCACCTTTTTCTAGCCTGACACCTGATTTCCTCTGTTGTGCTGCTCCATGATTGGCTCCAGCCTGCTGGACTGAAATTGCCCCAGTGTGCCCCTCCTTGATATCCCGCAACCCACCACCAGGGTTCCGACACATAACACACTTTTTTCAGGAAAGTAAACCTCCAGGGGTCCTTTCCATATTTTTACAGAGACTGCATAAGGACCGTTAGAAAAGCATTACCCATTGATTATTAAGCTTGGACCAGTGGGGTCCGGTGTTCGGGCCCCACCACGTAAAACCAGTCCCCATGACGTGAGTGGAATCTCAGGTTATGGAACCCACCAGGAGTTGAAAACAAGTGCACACACACACACACACACACAACTAACTCAGACTCGAGGGAGCACAGGGACAAGACACCTGCATTAGCTGTGACAGAGGTTGCTAAGAATGTTGCTAAGGAGAGCTGGATTTTACCCCACAAATGAAGGCATCTGATTGGTCAATTCTTATATGGCTCATATCAGGATTTATAAAGACAATATCACAATATAAACACCAGGATCACAGAGAGTTCTAAACCACAGATTTAAGCCCAAAATAGTGAGTGTGACACAAACTGTTCCTGAGATAGAGGAGTTTACTTTTACATGTACGTTAGGGGCGACAGTAGCTCAGTTGGTAGAGCACTGGCCTTTGAGCCTGAAGGTCGTGGGTTCAAGCCCACCACGGGACCTTCTCCACCGACTCCCACTGATGACTGCTGTCGTTGTGTCCTTGGGCAAGACACTTAACCCTGCATTGCCTGAAGCCCCCGCTGAAAAATCAAGGCTGTATTGTCACTGACAGAGCAGCCGTCCTCCTGTGGACTCACCACCTGCAGAGGGTCAGTGAGGGGCTGGTGCTAAGTGAATTGGGTGCAGCTCTGACTGCCACCCCCCCGACCCAGAAATGGATTAAGGGGAAGAAGATGGATGGATGGATGGATGTACGTTAATTGGCGCCAGAGCGAGTTGGAGCAAAACTTTGTCTATGAGCACTTCCCTATTGAACTTCATTGAGTTAGCGGGTTAGCATTATCCATCTGTAGACAGCATATGGTAGTAATAAAGCTGTGTGTGTTTCCAGACGGAGCAGAAGAGGCTGGAGGAGCTGAATGCTGAGCTGAGGAGGACTGAGGTCTGGCTTCAGGACGAGAGAGCGGAGAGGGAGAGACTGGAGAGAGAGCTCCACCAGCTGAGGGTCAGTGCGTCAGCAGGAGACACTAAATGCTTCTGTTTTAGTCCCAGTGGGGCCAAAGTACGTACATAAGGGTATAAAAGTACAAGCTTAAGTACAGGTTCTTAATGGAGATGTAAGCCTCGTTTCCACCAGCCCTACTTACAGGTGGAGTAAAGTAGAGTAGACAAAAAGATGGTAATTCTAATTGCCACTCACTCAAAATGTCTCCTTATTCAAAAGGTTATGTTATCTTTGACAGGAGGCTCCTGACCAATCAGAGCCCTGGGTTCAGCTCATGGTCTCTTTGATTTGAGTCTAATGTCCATGGATGAAAAACACATTGCTCAATATCCCACTTCTCCTATTCATATCAGTCATACGGTGAAACAGGCTCTCAGCTTTCTCGAGAACTGTTTCAACTGCTGAGACACAAATAGAGGCTTTTCTCTGAACCGTCAACACAGAAAGTCTTCTTGTTGTTTGCATTCTAAAACATGTTGTTGCTGTTTCCTTCAGGCCCAGCAGAGGGAGCTGCAGGAGCTGAAGTCCGTCAGGAGAAAGACTGAGACAGAGGAGCAGCAGGTCAGTTGTGGTCATCCTTCTCCCTCTGCACCAATGTTTCCTGTGTGTTTGTTATTATTACATTTCCTGTGTTCAAACTGTTTGATTCTCTGATCTGTTTTTGGTGACTCGTAAAGTCCTCAGAGATGTCTTCAGTTGTGATTTAGGGCAATACACAAATACATTGTATTGAATTTAAGGTTAATTTCACTCAGTGACAGTCACACGGAAGGAGCCTGGAGTAGAGCCACTGCTTCAACACGTCAAAAGGAGGCAGTTGAGGTGGCTCGGGCATCTGTTTGGGATGCCTCCTGGACGCCTCCCTGGGGAGGTGTTCCGGGCACGTCCCACCGGGAGGAGACCAGGGGAAGACCCAGAACACGCTGGAGGGACTCTGTCTCTCAGCTGGCCTGGGAACACCTTGGGGTGTTTGGAGAGGGAAGTCTGGGCGTCTCTGCTTAGACCGCTGCCCCCGCGACCCGGCAACGGATAAAGCGGAAGAAAATGGATGTACCATGTAAACATGACTGATGTGTGTCTCTGTTGTTAACAGTCATCTACAGACGACACAGAAGAGGATCCCTGCCCCAAAGAAGATGGAGAGACCGGTGAGCTAAAAGCACAATCCTCCCTCTGGTGGCAGCATGGGGAGTTACAGGCAGAAAACTTTATTTCATACATTCTTTTTTTACTACTTAATAAAAAAAATATATAGATATATTTCTCATTCTTAAACATAAAGTGACAATGAAACAGACTCATTATCATTTTAGGGGACAATAATTATCCATGATATATATATTATTTAAGGAACAATGTTTTTTTTTTTCTTTCAGCCTGTGATGAAGACACATCCTCCTCTTCCTCTCCACAGCTCTGCTCCCAGTCGTCTGTGAGTTTGTATTTCTTAAACTTTTGAGGACTTTTGTTAAAGCTGGGGTACCTGACATTCAACCACAATGAAATGTCGCTATAGTTTCTTGCTCTCAAAACAGTTTGGTTTGTGTCTGTAGTCCCTGTCACATCTTTAGATCAGCTTTTTCAGACAGAAAAGTGAAAAAGAGAGGACCACCCACATTCAGCCAATCAGAGACCAGAGAGAGACCAGAGAGGGACCAGAGAGGGACCAGAGAGGGACCAGAGAGAGACTAGAGCGAGAGAGAGAGAGCAGAGAGAGTGAACAAAGAGAAACCACCCTCACTCAGCCCTAAGAGTCAAACAGTGACTCACAGGGATCTCTCTGTCGTGGTCTGATTTGTTCACCACATTTAACTTTTACAAGACTCTTTCTGTTGGACAAATTTCACATGTTCTTTATGAAACCAAAAAGTGAGATACCCCAGCTTTAATATTGATCCGACAGTGTTTTTCTCTCTCCTCAGGTTGAAGAGGAAGAGGAGCTGTACGAGTCGGCTAAAGACGATCTGAGCGTCCACAGACCCGCCATCTGCAGGTCTGCTCCCGCTGTGGCCTCCTCTGCGTTCTAAAGCAGCTGTTTTCTGTTTTAAAACTGTAAATGTTCTGAAGATCACAGAAATAATTTAACATTTACTTGTAATTGACTAAAAGATAAGGTACCTAGCTTTAAAACCACAACAGTAGAACTATGTGATAAAACCCATGTGACTAGTGTGTGTGACGGAGACCAGAGAGAGAACAAAGAGAGAGAGAGAGAGAGAGAGAGAGCGGAGAATGAAACCAGGGAGAAAGAGACCGGAAGGAGAGAGAGAGACCAGATACAGACCAGAGAGAAAGAGAGACCAGAGACAGACCAGAGAGACCAGAGACAGACCAGAGAGAAAGAGAGACCAGAGAGAGAGAGAGACCAGAGAGAGACCAGAGACAGACCAGAGAGGGACCAGAGACAGAGCAGAAAGACCACAGAGAGAACAGAGAGAGACCAGAGATAGAGTCCAGAGAGAGAGAGCCTAGAGGAGAGACCAGAGAGAGGGAGAGGGATTAGAGGGAGACCAGAAAGTGATCCACGAGAGAGACTAGAGAGTGATTAGAGAGAGACCAAAAAGAGAGAGAGAGATACTAGAGGAAGACCAAATAGCAACCAGAAAGAGAGAACTGAGAGGTTCTATCACTAGTTTTCACACACATGTATTTTTGGCCTCTGACACATCTTTAGATCAGTTTCTTTTCTTTATTTAGATCAGCTCTCAGCCCAAAGAGTCTCCTGCTGACTCACAGGGCTCTTTCTCACTCCTAAGATCACCTGTTTTCTTATGACATAGTAACACATCATGAATTATTTATATGTAGAAAGTCAGGTACCCCAGCTTTAACTCTGTCCCGTCTGTGTCTGCAGTGACCTGTGTGACCCGTACATGTGGTAGAGGCTTCTCCGTCTTCACCGCTGCCGTCGTTTTGATTTAAAAACTTTTTCAAATGTTTTTTCTTTCCATGTTTTTGATGTATCGTTCTGAGCCCTGCTGTTTCTGCAAAGTGTTACTGTAGATAGAAAAGCTGAAACAGGTGAAAGATGTCGACATTAGAGTGATATTTTATTGGTATGTGTTTGATTTCACTGCCGTCTCTGTGTGCAGTCAATTATAATGTCTCTTTTTGCACTTTTTTTCTCGAGACTAAGTAAAGAGGGTTTACAATCCAGTGCTGTTGTGTCACTGATTTATCTCTGAGATGAGAGAGAGGACAGGAGAGGGAGGAGGGAGAAGAGAGAGTAGGGATGAGAGAGTCAGGAGATAAAGGAGGGACACAGGAGTGAGGATAGAGAAGAGTTAGAGAGATGAAAGGAGAGGAAGAAGAGTGAGGAAGAAGAGGAGAGAAGAGTGAGGAGGGGGGAGAGGAGAGATGAGAGGAAGAAGAGTGAGGAGGAAGAGGAGAGAAGAGTGAGGAGGGGGGAGAGGAGAGATGAGAGGAAGAAGAGTGAGGAGGAAGAGGAGAGAAGAGTGAGGAGGGGGAAGAGGAGAGATAAAAGGACAGAAGAGTGAGGAGGAAGAGGAGAGAAGAGTGAGGAGGGGGAAGAGGAGAGAGAGATTGTTAGGATTTAGCAGACAGAGACGGATCGTGGTGTGCCAAACTCTGGAAGTTTATTTAAGTTTCTCTCCAGTTCCACTGTTTTACTCTGTTTCTTTCCTCAGACAGAATAAAGGCAGTACACAGTTTATATAGTCATTGTCACGTCACACATCGAAAGACATACGTGTCACAAAGAGACAGTCACATCATAGTCATAACATGGAGTCCTTGTAGAGTCCTTGTACAGTCCTGCACGTAGGCCATATTGCTATCTAATACTAATACCCTCCCCTTTGATCACATAATCACATGTGATCACTCAAATCGATCAATCAATAAAATGGAAAAAGAAAAAAAAATTCCAAAAAAAAACTTCAAAAAATTATTAAAAACAAAGAAAATGTATGCATTAAACTCATAATCATCCAATCAATATCAGTGGATTTTATCCTCTATCCTGGGAAAAAACAAACAAACAAAAACAAACAACCAAATCAAAAATAAAAACAAACAAAAATAAAAAACAAACAAAAACTATTGGACACAGTAGAACTCAGCAGATTCAGTCAAAACACAGACAAAAACGAGCTGAGTCTCAAATTTGAAGCTAATTTCACTTTTATTACTCTATACTTTTATTCTAATGCTAATTGTTTACACTTCACTTCACTTATTTCACTGTATTATTTTCACTTTTTAATCTTAGACTGTGTACTTTACTTTTACTATTCACTATAGTTTAAAACTATTCTAATCTATTTACAAATATGTTTGCATATTTGATTATATTGAGCCATATTCTTAAACATACATTTTAATCTAATAAATCTCTCTGTGGTTTTATACTCTCATTATTAGTGGCTTATTATCAGTGGGATTTTGCTCCATGTCTATTCTCATTCTCAGGAATAAAACTGTGAACACAGTAAGGCAAATGGTCAACATTTACACTTCTATAGTGGTCAGTGATTTATTACTTTTTATTATCTCAAGATATTATTGTCAGGCAGTTTGGGATGAATGAACATCATTAATCAAATTAGCATTATCCTAATAGTAGCTAATTATGTTTGGGGTTGGGGTCAGTTATTCTACAATGGTGTTTGTGCTGGAAACTTCTCAATATCTAAATATCTACTATTGTGTTTTTGTGCTATACACAAATGCATCAAAATGCTTTTAAATGCTTTTGAATCTCTGTTGGTTCTAATCTATTTCATTGATCTAGGCATTAATCTAGGCTACACTCATATGAACTTTTTGCATTGTCAACATTCACTCATGTTTGAACACAAGTGAATTTGGCAAGTATCTAATAAAACTGTACATAAACTGTAATTAACTTTATCTACTTTTGAAGTAAATGTTTGTGAAATGGTCCCTTTACCATTTGATATTAGCACTGGCTAAGAATATTCTCTATTTTTGAAAGCATCTATGGTTGATGCATCTATTTCTACACTATTGTGGCTCTAAAGCTTGGTTGCAGCTTGAGTCAAGGCATATTTCTACTCTAACTCTTATGTGGAAATGTTTATGAACAACAAAGGAAGGACAATTCTACTTTTTTACTACTACTAAAAACGCTACAATAGTAATACTTTATCATTTTAAAAGTTTTTGTCTGTCAGATGTTATGACATATAACATGTATATTGCATTTGGTCACAGGTTGTGGTTCTGGTTGTAGCAATAGCATCAGCAATAGACGTTTTCATTGGCTGGTTCTTGTTCTGCAAATGTCTGTGTCCAATAGATCATCAGATGTCCAGAAGCTAGGGACAAACAAAAACAAAAGAAAGAATCATGAGTATCTCTCTCATTTAGCACTCATCAATGGCATTATTTCAATAATATAAACATCACTCCCCAGTTTTCTCTCTCTCAGATCCTCAGGTCCTCAGGGTCCTCTGAGGGTGAGTCTCAGTCGTCATCAGGTCAGGTCATATTTCGAGAGATGTCATCTTGGTCATCAGTAGGGTCCAAGCCATGGCTCTGGTCTCTCCAGTTGGACATCAGATCTCCAGATACAGTCTTTTCACTTGAAGCACATCAGGTCATTTGCGATGCACTTCTGGTCAATGGTGCAGTGTCTCAGTTCCTGTACACAGCTTGTTATGCAATAGTTACTCTCTATGGTTAAGTCACTTTGATTCTACTTTAACACAATTTCTATTCATGCTGTTGCTAATGTCTCTCAGACAAAAAGCAAGCGCAGTTTACTTCTCTAATTTGTGTTTTTATCAGATCTAATTCTCATCAATGTAATTACTTCACACAGTACAAAATCAAAACATCAAAATACAATACAATACAATTTATTCTTGTATAGCCCTAGGTCACAACAGAAGTCATCTCAGAGGACTTAACAAAACCATTGAAATCACCAACACAGGTCAGAGAATCAACAGTTAAAACACATGAAGAATACAGTATAAAGCACACACAGAAGAAAATGTCCATACATGTTGTAGAATGCTAAAGTGTCCTGATCATCACCAATCCTTTCTGTTGGACACTAACTGTCCAACAAGACCCTCCTGCATCGACAAGGAAAAACTCTTAAAAAACCCAGTGGGAAAAAGTGAGAAACCTTGGAGGAGAACTAGGGAAACCCACAGGGAGGGAGACCCATATGAGAAAGGGATCCGCTCCTCCGGACGGACAGACTAATGATCTAGGACCTAAGCTAGCTACAGAACGTGGACCAGTGGACGCTGAACGTGGACAGGTCCGGTGCAGGACCGAAGCACTCCCAGGCGGGTCGGGCGGGGCAGTCCGCAGGTGTAGATGGAAGAGGCCAGGCTCAGAGATCCCGTCATCGTACCATGAAACAGACAATGGGACAACGGGTGAATAGCAATGAACAAACTACAGTCAGAATCCTAAAAATGCTAAACAGATAAAGTAGGAAGGAGGAGAGGATAGTGCTCAAGTTACCATACTTCTCCCAGCAAACTGACTCCCTATGCAGCTTGACTAACACTCTGAGGAGTTTAACCTTCTCCGAGTCTTACCTTCCTAGCCATATGCTAAACTAAAGAGGACTGTTTTAAACCTAGCCTTGAATAAAGAATAACATACAGCATAATATATAACATAATATACAACATAACACAATACATTATTGAATAATATATAACATAATATATAACATAATACAGCATATATATATAATATATACACTACATATTATATATTACCTAATTATATGCTAAATTAAAGTAAAGTGCTTTAAGCCTGGCCTTGAATGTGGAGACCGTATCTGCTTCCTTAACATAAATGGGAAGCTGATTCCACAGTAAAGGAGCTTGGTAGCTAAATGCTCTGCCACCAACAGTGACCTTTGAGACCTTAGGGACCACCAGACGTCTGGCGTTTTGTGAGCGCAACGCTCGACTTGGTTGATACGACACTAACGTGTCTTGGAGATAAGAAGGAGCCAAGCCATTTATGGCTTTATATGTTAAGAGTAGGATTTTAAACTTTATTCTGTACTCCACAGGGAGCCAGTGGAGTGATTTTAACACCGGAGTTATGTGCTCCCTCCTTTTGGTACCTGTTAAGATCCTAGCTGCTGTATTCTGAACGAGCTGGAAGCTCTTCAAAGAGGCTTTAGGGCACGCTGCCAGTAAAGCGTTACAGTAGTCGAGCCTTGAGGTGACAAACGCGTGAATGAGTTTTTCCGCGTCACTTTTAGGAAGGAAATTCCTAATTTTAGCGATGTTCCGTAAGTGGAAGTACGCCGTTTTAGTTGCTTGGCTTATATAAGCCTTGAAGGAGAGTTCTTGGTCAAAAATGACTCCAAGATTCCTCACAGTGTTACTGGGTATTATACTGACATTATCGAGAGTAACCATCTGGTTAGTGAGGGAGTCACGCAGGCGCTTCGGACCGAGTAGGATCACTTCTGTCTTCTCCGGGTTGAGAAGTAGGAAGTTAAGAGTCATCCACATTTTAAGGTCCTTTATGCAGGCACTGAGCTTTTCTAGCTGATCTGTCTGATTAGGCTTCATCGACAGATAAAGCTGTGTGTCATCTGCATAGCAGTGGAAATTAATTCCATGCTTTTTAACAATGTTTCCTAATGGCAGCATGTAGAGAGTAAAAAGAATCGGTCCGAGTACCGAACCCTGCGGCACACCGAATTCCACTCCAGAATAAGGCGACGAGTCCTGATTCACATTGACGAAGTGATATCGATCTGATAAATAGGATTTAAACCAGCCAAGGGCTGTTCCTCTAAGACCTATATCACATTCTAGCCTCTGCAGTAGAATGCTGTGGTCTATTGTGTCAAATGCAGCACTAAGGTCCAGTAGGACCAGCACTGACACTTGTCCATTATCGGCAGCTAGTAGTAAGTCATTTGTGACTTTGACTAGTGCCGTTTCAGTGCTATGATGAGCTCTGAATCCTGATTGAAAGACTTCAAACATATCATTTTCCTGCAGGTGGCAGCGGAGCTGCTCAGCTATAAGTTTTTCCAGGATTTTAGATATAAAAGTGAGGTTCGAGATCGGTCTGTAGTTTGTAAGTATTTCTGGGTCCAGGTTTGTTTTCTTCAGAAGGGGTTTGATTAAGTTTGACACAAAAGTGTCAGGACAGAGGTCAATTAAGTCCATGACAATATAGAATTCAAATGAACATTTCTGGTCTCAAAAAATACTGATTCAACTAAAGATTCAAGTGATAGACAATTAAAAATATGTGTTTACATTGGAGTAAACTTTTAAAATGCTTTTTCCTCATGTTCTGCTTTTTCATGTATCTATATGTAAATGTGAATGTGTGAGTGTATGTGTGTGTGTGTGTATGTGAATTTTGGGGTTGTCTCTCCAGACTCCACGAACCACCTGTAGGTGTCAAAGGTCACAGTGATGCAAACCACGTAGACACACTTTCAACTCCCTCTAGGTCTCTACCTGACGCTCCACCCATCACGTCTCCAGATACCTCTCTTTCATGGCCC